TAGAATAATCATATCCAAGGACCAGTGGTGGATTTCAAAAGATTTTGGAACCTCTTCTGTAGGTCTGTGTCCTGCTTTCCGGGTCCACTGGTGGAACCTCTTCTAACTGGTTCGGTAGATTTGACGAACCGGTTCTACCAAATAGGTGGGAACTGGTAGGAACCTACCTCTGATCCACACCTGGGTCTTATCACCCCTTATGACCCTTCCTCTGTTCCCCAGGGCCTCATCTGTGCATACATCCCATCATCTGATCCTTCAGCGCTATGGGTTGCCACCATCTTGTTTTTTGCTTCTGCGCATGCTCAGAACTATTTTTATTGCACTGCACATGCGCGCACAGCCTGCCGGAATCCACCCCTGGTTTAGAGTATATCGTAAAGGTAGTCCTCAACTTGCAAAGTTCATTGGGTGACCATTCAAAGTGACAGTGGCAGCAAAAAAGCGACATATTGCCATTTTTCACACTTACGACCATTGGCAACCCCATTGTCACGTGATTAAAATTCAGGAGGTTGGCAATTGATTTGATTTAATGACGGTTGCGATATCCTGATGTCACGCGATCCCCTTTTGCGACCTCCTGCCAAGCAAACTCAACGGGGAAGGCAGGTTCACTTAACAGTTGTGTTACTAACATAACAACTGCAGCGATCCACTTAACAATTGGGCCAAGAAAGGTCGCGGAATGGGGCAAAACGCGCTGAGCAACTGTTTCGCTTAGCGACAGAAATTTTGGACTCAGTTATAGGACAAGGATGACCTGTATTCAGTTGTGAATATGTTAAATTTTTAAAATGTAAAATAAGGATTCCAGGCAGACTGTAACGAAGGGAACAAGAAGTGTGAGCGTGCTGGAATTTTACAACAGCGCTAATCAAGTTTCACATTCCACGCCCAAATAAATGAGTTATAGGGCTATTTATTTTCAAAATCAGACTTCTTGTACTCCCCTAAACACACACACACACACACACACACACATACTTCTAGTTGCCAGCTGTGTTAAATTGCATTTTTTTATTCTCTTGAATATTCAAACGCCAAAGTCAGACATTTACTTCCTGCTGTCTAAACGGAACTTCACAAGACAGATAGCAATCTGACATGAAATGTTTGCTTTAGAGACCAGTCTAGAATTTCTTGATTTATTGCCATTTTATACACTGTCTGCTATAGCTTTTATTGCATCTGTGTTTTATTGGCACCAAGCAACGTACAGAAGATGCTGGAGTGGAGCAGTGAATTATTTAACTGGACAAGGAGTTGGGCTAAATCAAGGATGTCCAACTTTGGCAACTTTTGTGGACTTCAACTTCCAGAATTTCCCCCGCCAGCCTGGGGAATTCTGGGAGTCGAAGTCCTCAAGTCTTAAAGTTGCCATGTTTGGACATCT